CATTAGTCCTCCCACGGGTTAATACCTTCCCCTCGGGCTGCCTCCTGAGCCACCCTCTCTTCCCCAAAGTCCCTCCCCACGGCACAACACTACCTCTGCCAAGAGCTCTGCGGTACAGTCGTCCTCCAGGCTGCTCTGCCCGCGGCCGGCCGCGCTCTCCTCTTTATCGCCCGCAGACAACCGCAGCTCATGCCACAGCTCATCGGCCATGCCCGAGCGCTCCTTGTCCTCCTCTCCTGCCACCGGCACCTTCCCACTGCGGCTCTGCCCAGCAGCATCCACCCCGGGCTCGCTCTGGTGCTCAGGAGCTGATGGGTCAGCACCACGGACCGGCTCTGGTGCAGCCAGAGGCTCGTTTTGGGCTTCTGGGAGGTTCTGGTTAAGCTCCACCTGGGCAATGCTGGGGCACTCTTCATCTTGGCTTTCCAGTTTGGAGAAACTCTCGCCTCCCTCCCTGGTGCCGGCATTCACCAAGTCCTCACCCTGTTCTTCAGGCAGTGGCAGGTTTTTGCCACCCTCCAGGCTCTTGGCAGCGGCACAGCTCTTATCTTGGTTTTCCAGCACCAGCGACGTCGCGCTCGACTCGACCGCAGCCGGGTCCGTCCAGCAGTTACCGCTGCGACGTTCCGATAGGGAGGAGTTTTCGCTGCGCTCCGTTTCACCGGCATCGCGGGTGTTTTGGTCTTCAGCTTGCAGCTGGCACAGGATTTCGCTACCTTCGATAGTGTTGTCACAGCTCCGATCTTGCTTTTCGGCTTCAGTTGGGGTTTTATTGTGTACAGAAGAAAGGGAATCTGAACAGTCTTTATCCTGACTTTCCTGCCCAGAGAAATCGTTGCTATTCTCTAACGGTGGGACAGCTGTAGAGCATGGAGGACGTTCGTCGGTTTTGTCATTATTTTTTCCTGAAACACACTCTTCGCCAGGCTCCTGTCGCTTGCCAAGGGCCAAGGAGACACCTGGGCTGCCTTCAGACGTACCCAGTTCCTCCTGGGTGTCCCCAGCTGAAGCTTTAGGGCAGATTTCTCCTTCTTGTGCCACATCCCCACCTGCCTCGGTGCCAGCCGCCCCCGGCCTCTCCTGCTCCCTCCATTCTGCCTTCTTGCGCATCGCTTTGGGGACGTACAGGGCTTTATCTGGTTTCTTCCAGGGTGGTCTTTTTATCCTGCCAGACCCCACGCAGGCTCGGGAGTTGTCACCGTGCAGCTCCCCGCCGTGCCGCAGCCTGCCGCCATGGCCCCCCCGGCCCCACGGCTGTGGAGGTCGCTGCGGTCTCAGGGGGTTGCTGCTGGGTTTTTGGTCGCTGGTTTCACTGGGCAGCCTGGGATGGAGAGAACGGCAAGGCATGAGCAGGGAGCAGAGGAACCCAAGAAATGTGGCATTTGCAAAGGAGAGAAAGAAGGAAAATCATCAAATCCACATAGAAGTCAGCATATAGAGGAAAAAAAGAAAAAAAAAAAAGAGCTTCTGCTTCCTTAATGACTAGAAGATGCTACCGGTAACAGACACCCTCCTCTTTGCGGAGAAGTACTGTGCAAAGTTCATGCTCATAAGCTTGAACAAAAACCCCGTGGATATAGAAAAAGAATCACCTTTAACACCTATCGCACCGTACCTTACGGCTGAATGACAGATGACCGTCCTCCTCCTCCATCCTTCTCCCACGGAAAAGCTGCTCAACAAATCCACGCTGTCCACGGTGCGGTGGATCAGGTACCTGAGGCGACTGGACAGCGGGGGGAACAGGAGCACCCTGAAAAGAGAGAGG